TAAGTCAACCCACACAGCGTCCTCTCTCGATGTTTGTGACACATTGATAGGTGATTTCATAACTAGTATAAAAACGAAGATGGAAAAATATCAAATCTCTGATTGGAAAATTTCGAAGTTGCATGACCTTATGCATTTGAGAACAAGCATAGAGCGATCTGGTATTCCCGACACGTTCGCAACTGATGTGTGGGAGCATAATCATCAAAGGTTCTACAAACAGCCATATTTGTCATCAAACAAGCATAAGGCTGCTTCCCAGATGGTGAATCATGTCCGACGCTCATTGGCTTTGCAGGATGAGATGGAGAGTGTGAGAAAACGCAGGAAGAGGTCGACAAAAAATTGATCATCCGTGATAGAGTGCATGGCCACCGGAAGTAATACCCTGGCAGCGGGCGACACAACAACTCTACAACTCCGGTGGTTCCAGATGGACGATGTGCATTTGCCAGGCGTAGAGGGTATGAGCGATGCGGCGTTGAGAATACTGAATGAGCTTCCCCGCAGAGAGGATTTTCGAGCTGCACTTACGACGTTCATGACAGAGATGGGTTGTCAACCTCCATTTGATGACCAAGTCATACACACTCGAACACACTTGACTATCGTCTGTACATACGATGGGACGCACAGGGGCGCAAGCGTTCAGACGGCAAGAGCTTCACCACAGTTCCACGGGAGAGCCGTGCACAGCGATGTTGCAGTGAGAGGTGACAATGACAACATATGGTATGCATCAGTAGCCATGTTTTTCGTCATGAACGCTTGCACATGTGGTGTTGTGGAGATGCACAAGTGTTGTTTCGTGCAATGGTACAAAGAGGTGGATAGCGAAAGGGAACACACAACAGGTTGTAAGAAGTTGCAATGAGAGAATGTGAACGGTCATCAGCACAGTAGCGTCATAACGATTGATACCATCATTGACACCGTTCATATTGTTCCTCGTTTTTGTAAACCACAGTGGGACTCGAAGAAGCATGCAAAAGAGAGGGAGGACAATTTTTTGTTGAATAGATATGTACTTTAGAAGTGTACCGGGAATTACTCATTGTGAAAAAAACAAAAATTAAAAGGCTGATAATTTTTTCGAGAACAATAAGTGGTGGGCGCAGTTGCAATGTTATACTACAACATGCACTCAACTTTTGTTTTTCTTTTACAGAGAGAGAGAGAGAAGCGTTTGAACAACAATAGTCATTTGGTAAAGATGGAGTCAAAAAATCGGTAGATTTTTCGAGCGCGGAGCCTGCATTTCAGACCACTGTTGCATAGCTTCTGTGTCATCTTACACAGCAATATAGAGAAAGGTGCATCAAACCAGTGTGTATGACGAATATAACTTCAGAGTTGACTACTGCGTGCACATGTATGGCGAACGTGGACTTAAAAAGTGGGAGGTGGCACGCACTAGTCAACCCATGTCTATACTTGCCAAGTTACTTGCGAGATGTGGTTCATGGCCATATGACTGCCATGTGAACAGGAAAGGTTGAGGTCGAGGTAACGCCACAATAACAATCTGCACTGGAAGAAATGACAAGACAACAAGCGGGAAAATAAGCGTATTGAGGAATTGCTGTAAAGCCGATTTAGACTGACACTGCCATTAGTTGTCACATCCGTTGTACGACGGAGAATAAGGGTTGTTCAGATGAGCCAGTTTGACAAAACCCACGAGGAGGTAGATGGCAACGGTTGTATCATGGGCTCCAAAGCGACGGACAGTTTAGAAACAACAAGGAATGACGAACACTCATGTGGACCAACTGTCACCGAACCGTTGCTCCCATTGAGCAGTGAGAGATCAGTGAATCGATGGAAGAGGATACTGGAGGACCCTTGGTATGTGGAAATGTATCAGATGATGACCACAGATGACGCCCAATATCCTCAGATGGTGCATGAACCTTTGTTCAATATTGCAGGAGACAATCGGTCGACGGGTATGGCTGCAGAGGCTGGAAAGAGACCCAAGAGGGTGGACGAGGAACACTTGTTCCCGTTCACGTGGAAATCAAGAAGACACGCCATATCGATAACAAAACGGGACGTATTGCGATTGGGTGTCAAGCAGTGGCTGAACGATAACGTGATCGATATGTACTTACAGTCCGTCTATGACGAACATTTTCCAGACGGAGACAATATGACACTTCATGTTTGCACATCTTTCTGGCACCTCGCAGTCATCGCCAATCAGAAGGTTTATGTCGCGAAAGCGGGATGGCAGAGGCGGATCAAGAGTATATCGTCAAAGCTGCGTCGAATAAGCAATGAACTGTGAACAACAAGTATTGTTCTCATCCCTGTGAATCACGAAAACCATTGAAAATTGCTCTTGATACTGAATGTCGGCCAGTTTTTGGCAGGCACGGAGGACAACGATGGCCAGAAACGACCTGTTGCGATCGTCATCGATTCCTTTCAACAGAGCGGCCGACAGGAATGGAAGGCGTTGCGCACATTTTTGTGGTATGAATACCTCAGCGAGGCAGACAAAGAAGTGGTGTTGACTCCCGACACAGTGGACACGTCGTGGGTGACATGGAAAGATCTACTTGGATCTAAGATAGTGTACGCTAAATGTTCGCAACAGACCAATACGTCAGACTGTGGTGTTTACGTTTATTGCGTGGCAGCTTAATTGATGCGAAAACTAGCAAAACTGAGTAAGCAAACGAACATTACCGCAAAATATATAACAGAAGTTGTTAGTGCGATGGAGGTTGACGACCAAACGGTCGACATATTTCGTCAGTCAATGGTGCAACGCTTTGCGCAGTGTGCTGTCGAGGCAAAAGGATATAACACCGCAGCAGCATGTGACATAGAAAATGTTTTCAGAGATTTCATAGACGGAACACAGAGTGGATGTTCGTAAATACGAGGGCATGATAGAAACCGTGAGATCAGGAAACACGAAGTTGACAACCGCATGCAAATAAACAGAACTCACACGTCGTAGAGAAGCCAATCGTCACGCAGTAGCCAACTTCTGCGCTCAGTCGATGGATGAATGCATGATGTAATAAAGAAAAAAATATCGTCTTTCGTGTCATAACGGTAAACAAACTCTCTCTCTCTCTCTCTCTCTCTCTCTCTCTCTCTCTCTCTCTCTCTCTCTCTCTCTCTCTCTCTCTCTCTCTCTCTCTCT